TCTAAGAAGACAATGTCCTGCTGTAATAAATGTACTACGGAATACATATAACAAAATTAAAGAAACAAAGAAATTACAAAGCTTACTTAATTAATTATGATTAAGTAAGGAAGTGCTAGCTTGAGCCTGTCAGGACCACCCTTGAATTTTGTAATGTCCCAAATTTATGTGCCTGACAGAGAAGTATGGACACAGTATACAAAAGAATCAGCAAGAGACAATGCATACAGCAATACAGTCTAAGAAAGACTGTCACATTCACCCACTTAATTGTAAGAGCCAGTTTCAGTAAAATGCTATTAATCCATGAAAGATGCATTATATATGTTTATGTATACATATATATATATATATATATATATATATATATAGGCCTCTGGTGAGTTCGATCTGTCGCTTTGTATTCCTGTTTTTATCCATATATGCCTAGCCTAGGCTACACAAAACGAAATCTGTTTTCTATTTCTACAGTCTGTATTGCCTTTTCTCACCCTTGCCTATAGGCATATATAGATCTATATGCTATTGCATGCTCTCTTTCTTTCCTCTCCAACTCTTCCCTACCCACAGACCCCATGCAGGGCTATGTAACTAATTAGTAAAATAAGTAAAAATGTATTAACCTTTATTAGGCTATCTTAAATTAAACTGCTTATGTTGTAAGCTAGATATCTAGATCAACGCATGTAGATCTATTTAGGCTAAGGCAGGCATATTTTTATTATGCTGGAAACCTATAGATCTAGAATCTAGATCTAGAGTCTTGATGACTTTTTTTTCTTATGTAACTACTGACACTGTCGACTAGATAATTAGATCTCTAGAATCTAGATCTAGATCTAGATCTAGATAATCTAGATGTAGATCATTCTAGATCTAGTTTTCGGTCTACATTATCAAAACATGTTTTGGTTTTATGCTAGATCGACATTATTTTATAACTTGGCCTAGATCTAGAATTCAATTTTAAAATCTGTTGTCCTGTTTTCATCAACATGTGTAACCTTTTCTGTAGACCAGAAGAGTATAGAATTGTAGAGGCATTGTTTACAAATGCAACCTTGGCCAGTTCTCTGATTGCGCTAGGCCTAAGCTGCAGAAAGCTAGGGGCCTAGGCCTAGGCCCCGCTAGACGCGACGCGCTTCGTTTCGATAAGGCCTAGGCCTAGGCTAGACGCGACGCGCTTCGCTGTCGATACCGCGCCTGGTTATTTTTAGCTCGCGTCTCAGCGGTCACGTTCGCAAATGCACTGTTGTCACGGACCGCGAGGCCTCGTTTCCTGTCTCTATATTTTAGTGTCTCTGGTGGTTCTGTGGCGTGTTGCGTGGTGCTGTG